CTCGTGTGAGAGTGTTAATCCAGTGGCGCCTGCGCGGGCGGGCTGGCGCGCGCATCTGGCGAAGCCATCAGGCGCCGTTCGCCGTTCGCTCGCTCGCTCGCTCGCCCGCAGCGGCTGCGGCGGCGATGCGCACGACCTCCGCGCGGCCTTTGGCGCCCGACCAGCTGGGAGGGGTGGGGGAGGGGGAGGGGGCGACCGCGTGGCCGCCGCCCTCTGCCACGTCCCTCGCGAGCCAGCGGCGCCGACGCCTCGCCCCTCGTAGTCTTCGTCTGCTCGCCCTGCACCTCGCTCTCGCTCTCGCTCTCGCTCTCGCTCTCGTCGCTCTTCCGCTCCCGCGGGCTGTCTGTCTTGGGAGGAGCGAGTGGTTTTCGCTCAAATCCGAAGGAAGCTTTTCAACTCGTGAAGCGGGTAAAAATCCATAATTTTGTCATTTCATTCGTTTGGATGTTCTGAGCTGCTTTGTGCAGAGGACTAGGTCAAGAGATCTGACGAATTGACTAATTGGATGTCGACGTCCTGTCGCCGAATGTTTTTACGAAATTTAATTTGCAAAGATGGCTGCTGTACAGTTTCAAATTGTGGTCACCTTTCCTTTTCTTTTTATTGTTCCATTATCACTCTATTAAAGTGTCTCGTAACTTTCTTCAAAAATAATTTGAACGGACATCAAATAACGAATGTGCTTTTATTAGTTGGTGTTGAGTTTCTGACTTGCTTCTCAAATTGCAATACAAAGAAAAACTCTAAATAGTGTTGTTGATAATTATGTCACTCAGAAATTGGCTGATGTATGAATGAAAACAACATTTTGAAAATAGTATTTATATTTTAGATCAATAAATCATACAATTATAATCAATAAATGTATGATTGTGTCGTTTCACAAGATTTTACATAGTCGTCGGTCAGTTTTCATTGTTTTGTGTTCAAAACTTGAACTTACATATATTTGCAATGTGGTCGCGTGAGTTGTTCGTTTGTGGCCTTGTTCGCAAAGATTTGCTTCGGCGCAACGGAGCATCCAGTAACATTCCTTGGGGGAAGGAGGCAGGCGCGTCGATGTGAATTGTTTATCCAGATGTAAAAGGTCTGTTCACTTTTATATGAAACGATGTCATCTCCAATTGGAATTGGAGCCTCGTAGCGCAGTGATGGCTGCGATGGAGCTGAAGACCAAAGCCAAAGGGCTTTCCGCCTGCTGTGCCTTCCCGCGGCCCGCATCCACGGATCGACTCGATACACCGGCAAAACTGAAGGCGCCTTCTAAGCTTATGTTTCAGGGCCCAGTTGACGCTTCGCTGCGCACGCTCAGTTACGGCGGCGTGGCTCTGATCTCCAACTCCCGCGATTAACTTCAGTCGGTGCCACGCACAATCCCTAAACGTTTCATTATTTTCTGATTTTGCGAGACTACAGTTAGATTCTCCGATCTCGCTGCATACGAGAAGACTTGTTCCGGGACCGTTAAAGAATATGGCTCTAATGTGTGTATGTAATAGTATTTTTATTTAAATATTACTCTGGGTCAGAGGTACGTACAGGACACAATGTCCATTTTTGGTCATTTTTGGAAGTGAGACTATTAGCACAATCTTACGGACACGTACAACACTGTCCTACGTCAGGATTGGTGGATTTAGAGCGCTTTCAAACAACACCAAATACACTTAAAAGTCCAAAGTAAACATCTTCAAACTGCTCTCCTGCAAAAATTAGTAAATTTGACGTAGTATTAAACATCTCCGCGGTTCAGATTTGTCCCTTTCTGCATATGTAGAATATTATTTACTCGGTACCGTGCTTGCTTTCGACGTCAATATAAAAATTGGCAGGCAAACTGCTTTGGCAATCTTTGTAGAGCATTCGAAGCTCACGATCGTGTACCTGAGAACTGAACCTATCGTACATGCAAATCAAGAACCCACTATGTTGCGGAAAAATTAATTTTAAAATGTTGGTGTACATCAATAAAGGAAAAAAAATAGGTGAACTTCCTCGAGACGGTTCCAAAGTGTTCTTCAATTTTTCTACACAAGAAACCGTACCTAGTTACATCTATGTTAAATCTTGTAGTACTTTTTTAAATTTTATAGTTATAAACAGAAGTTAACAGAGTATTAGTTTGGAGAAGTTCATTTCTCTCTGGAAAAATGCCTTAATTTGGCTGTGTAATACCTACTGTTGTTCCCTCGCCCGAGAGAGCGTTGAGGTTGAGCGGGCGGAAGGGCCACCGGGCGAAGTATCATAAGCAAAAAAGACGTGGCGGCCAGGCGCTCTTTCTCTGGGGCGGCCGCGTCCCAGACCGCTTGGCAACTCGCCCCGCCCCGCCCCGCCCCGCC